CACCTGGGACACACCTGGGACACACCTGGGGGTCACCTGAAGGGTTTGGTGAAGGTTTGGAGTTCATAGGTGCAGGAATTGGGGATTTAGGAGCTCACCTGTAGCACCTGGAGCTTACCTGTGCAGGTGGGAGAGGGTTTGGGGTTGGTATCTCGATTGTTTGGGAGTTATGGACTTACCTGTGCTACCTGGAGCTCACCTGTGCAGGTACTGGGGAATTCTGGACGCACCTGAGCAGGTATTGGGGATTTAGGAGCTCACCTGTGTGCTTGGATGGGATTTAGGAGCTCACCTGTGCAAGTGTTGGAGAGCCATGGACTTACCTGTGCTACCTGGAGCTCACCTGTGCAGGTGGAGAAGCACCTGGAGCTCACCTGTGTGGTTCTGTGGGATTTAGGAGCTCACCTGGGCAGGTGTTTGGGGTTTAGGGGCTCACCTGTGCAGGTGTTGGGGAGCCATGGACTCACCTGTGCTACCTGGAGCTCACCTGTGCAGGTATTTGGGTACCTGTGTGACTGTATGGGGTTTAGGAGCTCACCTGTGCTACCTGGAGCTCACCTGTGCAGGCATTGGGGATTTAGGAGCTCGCCTGTGCAGGTACTGGGGAGCCGTGGACTCACCTGTAGCACCTGGAGCTCACCTGCGCAGGTATTTGGGTACCTGTGTGGTTGTGTGGGATTTAGGAGCTCACCTGTGCAGGTGGAGAAGCACCTGGAGCTCACCTGTGCACTTGTGTGGGATTTCAGAGCTCACCTGTGCAGGTGTGTGGGATTAAGGAGCTCACCTGTGCAGGTATTTGGGATTTAGGAGCTCACCTTTGATACCTGGAGCTCACCTGTGCAGGTGGAGAAGCACCTGGAGCTCACCTGTGCAGGTATTTGGGATTTAGGAGCTCACCTGTGTGCTTGGATGGGATTTAGGAGCTCACCTGGGCAGGTGTTGGGGAGTTCTGGACTCACCTGTGCTACCTGGAGCTCACCTGTGCAGGTATTTGGGTACCTGTGTGGCTGTGTGGGGTTTAGGAGTTCACCTGTGCAGGTGTTTGGGATTTAGGAGCTCACCTGTGCAGGTACTGGGGATTTAGGAGCTCACCTGTGCAGGTACTGGGGATTTAGGAGCTCACCTGTGCAGGTGTTTGGGTACCTGGGCAGGTGCCACCGCATCGGCCACACCCGCGACGTGCACATCTACAGGTGAGCTCACCTGGGACACACCTGGGACACACCTGGGACACACCTGGGACACACCTGGGCAGGTGGGAGAAGGTTTGGGGTTGATATCTGCAGGTATGGAGGAGTTACGGACTTACCTGTGCTACCTGGAGCTCACCTGTGCAGGTATTTGGGTACCTGTGTGGTTCTGTGGGGTTTAGGAGCTCACCTGGGCAGGAATTGGGGATTTAGGAGCTCACCTGTGGCACCTGGAGCTCACCTGTGCAGGTGTTTGGGTACCTGTGTGGTTCTGTGGGATTTAGGAGCTCACCTGTGCAGGTATTTGGGTACCTGAGGGGTGATTTGGGTACCTGGGCAGGTGCCACCGCATCGGGCAGACCCGCGACGTGCACATCTACAGGTGAGCGCACCTGGGACACACCTGGGACACACCTGGGGGTCACCTGAGGGGTTTGGTGAAGGTTTGGGGTTGATATCTGCAAATATGGAGGAGTCACAGACTCACCTGTGCTACCTGGAGCTCACCTGTGCAGGTGTTTGGGTACCTGTGTGGTTGTGTGGGATTTAGGAGCTCACCTGTGCAGGTGTTTGGGATTTAGGAGCTCACCTGTAGCACTTGGAGCTCACCTGTGCAGGTATTGGGGTGCCTGTGTGGTTCTGTGGGATTTAGGAGCTCACCTGTGCAGGTATTGGGGATTTAGGAGCTCACCTGTGCTACCTGGAGCTCACCTGTGCTGGTGTTGGGGTACCTGTGTGGTTCTGTGGGATTTAGGAGCTCACCTGTGATACCTGGAGCTCACCTGTGCAGGTTGAGAAGCACCTGGAGCTCACCTGTGCAGGTGTTTGGGAGTTCAGGACTCACCTGTGCAGATGTTTGGGATTTAGGAGCTCACCTGTGCAGGTGTGTGGGTACCTGAGGGGTGATTTGGGTACCTGGGCAGGTGCCACCGCATCGGGCAGACCCGCGATGTGCACATCTACAGGTGAGCTCACCTGGGACGCACCTGGGACACACCTGGGGGTCACCTGAGGGGTTTGGTGAAGGTTTGGGGTTGATAGGTGCAGGTATTTGGGATTTAGGAGCTCACCTGTGGTACCTGGAGCTCACCTGTGCAGGTGTGTGGGTACCTGAGGGGTGATTTGGGTACCTGGGCAGGTGCCGCCGCATCGGGCACACCCGTGACGTGCACATCTACAGGTGAGACACACCTGGGACACACCTGGGACACACCTGGGACACACCTGGGGGTCACCTGAGGGGTTTGATGAAGGTTTGGAGTTCATAGGTGCAGGTATTGGGGATTTAGGAGCTCACCTGTGCAGGTATTGGGAAGCCATAAACTTACCTGTGCTACCTGGAGCTCACCTGTGCAGGTATTGGGGTACCTGTGTGGTTCTGTGGGATTCAGGAGCTCACCTGTGCAGGTATTTGGGATTTAGGAACTCACCTGTGTCTCACCTGTCCAGGATCTTCCTCAGATCCGCCATTTTCTGACACCTCCAAAATTTCCATTTTTAACGATGGAAATTCCATTTTTAACCCCAAAAACTCGATTTTTTTTTTGTCCGTAATCGGCGTTTTTTGCCCCAAAATTTTGTCACTTGTCCTCGGAAATGTCCCACCTGTGTCCCACCTGTGTCCCACCTGTGTCTCACCTGTCCAGGTTGATGATGGTGCAGGAGAACACCTGGAGCTCACCTGGGGCTGTTCCCTCTCTCACCTGTTCATACCTGTCCATACCTGTCCATACCTGTCCCAGGTGTCTCACCTGTGTCTCACCTGCCCAGGTTGATCTCAGTGCAGGAGAGCACCTGGAGCTCACCTGGGACTGGTTCCAGGTCTCACCTGTGTCTCACCTGTCCATACCTGTCCACACCCATCTCAGGTGTCTCACCTGTCTCACCTGTGTCTCACCTGTCCAGGTTGATGATGGTGCAGGAGAGCACCTGGAGCTCACCTGGGGCTGTTCCCTCTCTCACCTGTCCATACCTGTCCATACCTGTCCCAGGTGTCTGACCTGTGTCTCACCTGTCCATACCTGTCCGTCCTTGTCTTTACCTGTCCATACCTGTCCATACCTGTCCATACCTGTCCATACCTGTCTCAGGTGTCTCACCTGTGTCCCTTCTGTGTCTCCCCTGCCCAGGTTGATCTCGGAGCGCACGGTTGAAGAGAACATCCTCAAGAAGGCGAACCAGAACCTGATACCTGTCCTTACCTGTCCATACCTGTCCATACTTGTCCATACCTGTCTCAGGTGTCTCACCTGTGTCTCACCTGTGTCTCACCTGTGTCTCACCTGCACAGGTTGATCTCGGAGCGCACGGTTGAGGAGAACATCCTTAAGAAGGCGAACCAGAACCTGATACCTGCCCATACC